TCCAAAATGTGTAGACGTTCCCCTCATACTACGATCTCAGGCTGCGGCTTCACAGTATCCTCACTAAAAACGTTTGCTAACCTATCGACGGGGTGGTGTTTGAAGTTTGCACAGGCTCGTATTTTCATTGAGTCACATCTTGTAAAAAGGGGGGACGTGTTTCTTCATCCAAAGAAGTGGCTTGTGCCCACAAAAGCTCACGATCCCGTCTACATTTTCGGTTTGTCTCTAAGGTGCTGTAGGGACATTCATTGTTTTCTATGTTTTGTCAGTTATAGGCAAACACAGCTCCCCCCATCTACACACATGCACTTCAGAAAGACAGCCTGGCATAAGAAGGGGAGGGGAAAAGAAAAGGGGGAGGAGACAAAGGGGCGGGGGAGTTACAACAGCTTCTCATTGGTCAGACCAAGAGGCGGGGTTAGTTAAGTAACTCACAGCCCCTGGAAGTCTTATCATTTCCCCTCCGACAGCCCTTGGGTAAGGTTGCTGCTGCTTTCTAGACTTTTCCGCCCACCGTCTCACCTGTCCGGCCTTTCCTTTCCCTTCTTTTTCATTTAATTTAGTTAATTTTCTTTGGTTCTTTAATCTCCTCTCTCCACCGTTCCTCTTTTCTTTAATTCGCTTTCATTCTTTTTCCAAACTTTCCTTGTTGTTTTCTCTAGCTGCTGCATGATTTTTCCACCCCGTTCCCCTCTAAGCCTGCTTTTCTGTTTTCCTCTTGCATTTCATTTGCTTTTTCATTTCTTGTATTTCTTTTTCCACACGTTTTCCTTGCTGATTTCCCTCACTTCCACAGGCTTTCCCCCTGTTTTTCCTCTAGAAGCCTGCTTTTCTAATTGCCTCTTTTATGGATTTTCCCTTATAACTTATTTGAATTCTTTTTTCGTCCCTGTTCCTTCCCGACTTCTCTAGCTGCCACGTCCCCCTCCCAATTTTCTCTAAAAGCCTCTTTTCCCCCCATTTTCTTCTTTTAGTTAATGTGCTTTTTAACGGATTTTAATTCTTTTTCAAAAACTTTCTTTTCTTCATTTGCATTTGGTTCCTATTCCCTTCTCTCCACCATCCCACTGTTATTTGATTATCCTTTTACGTCTGTTTTAATTCTCTTTTCACTCTTTCTTTTCCGTGTTTCCTTTTTCTTTATCTTTCAAACCCCTCTCGCCTGCCCTAACAAGTTTTCTTTGCTTTCAGGACCGGTTTTTTTAATCAATTCGTCTTTGCCATCTTTTATTCTTTTTAAGATCCCAAACTTCTACAAACCGACATCGCCGGGCAGAAAATCAACCCCTTCCTGATCTCGCAAATGCTTCCTGGATCTATTTTCCTACCCTGGGGTGCACTTGGCAGAGGAGCGGGGTGGTTTATCGCCAGCAGAGCAGGCGTGAAGGGTTGCAGAAAGAAAACACGACCTCTGGGGCCCAGACGGTGCCACGTCTACCAGCAAGGGAGTGCCCAGAAAATTGACCTTCCAGATTTGGAAGGAGCTTAGTGGCTCCAAAGAGGCGTCCCAGCCGTCCGTCTGTTGGCTTCCTACATCCGTCCATCCCCTGAGGCGATGAGGCCTATTGATCTGAGTCAGTCACGTGGGCCTCAGGTTACAGGGTAGCCGGGTTTAATGGCTCGAGTCAGTAACACAGCCCTGGGGTGCAGGGCAGCACTGTCTAGTGGCGTCTAGCGTGTCTCGGGTTTGGGGCAGCAGCCCCACTAGTGGGATCCAGGCCCCAAACCAGCCTTCAGCTCTAGAGGCTCATCACAGTCTCTGGCTCCCATCATGCAGGTCCCTGGCTGGGCCACCTCCCTTTTATCCTGCCCCAGCCCTTTGGAGCATGCCCAGTGCCGCTGGGGGGCGGGACTTCCTCCGCCCGTGCGGTTAGAACCCCTTTCCTCCCAGTGTGGGCCAGCCCGTCACGCCCAGGTGACGTGAACATTGCATCCCTCCTGTGCAAAAGCCTATGCAAATGAGGCACGGATTAGCATATTGCCATGCTTCATTTGCATAACTAATGAGGGGCCATTTTTGTACAGGCTTTGCAATGCCAGCCTACTCCTGACCTGGGGGATAATTCCTTTCTGGCCCTACATATTGCAACCACTTAGGCCCTGAGCATGTGGGTGGGATCCACCAGGCAGACTCCTGGGAAAAAGTGCACTCTAGTAACGCAGGGCCTGCCCCAGCCTGTGTCCCATGTCCGGCCACTGGGTGAGATTTACTAATTATGTTTGCTAGCTGTCATCCCTGCCCCTCCTGCCCAGTCTCTCCCCTTCCCTCCCAAACCCCCCACTCCCAGCCTACTCCTGCCCCCTTCCTCTCCTCCTACCCCAAGCCTACTCCTGCACCCTCCGTCCCATCCAGACCCCTCACCTGCCCGCACCCCAAATCCCAGCCTTCGCCCTGGCAGGCTCCTCCCACACATGGAAACCCCACCCCAGAGCTTAGGGGCAACCCACAATGTCTACTCACTATGGCCCCCCAAAGAATTCATTTGTCTCTCAGGGGAGCCCTAAGCCTGGCCGTGGGGCGAGCGTCTCTGTTTGAAAATCTGCTTCCGGCGCAGCAAGGTGGAGTTTTCAGTTTCTCACTCGTGTGCGGCTCCTGACTGATTTTCCCGTGTCCCCGTGGGCCCGGCCCCAGAAAAGATTCCCCACCCCTGGTCAAAGATGTTCACATGCCCCTGTCTCTGGGCATCAGGGACTCCCGGCGAGCAGAGACCCCTGCCCGCTCAGCCCCACGACAAACACGCCGGAGAATTCAGGCCACTGTTTAATTATTGGGGCCTTCGGCTACAGAGGAGAGAAAGGGACAAAAAGCAGAAATCCCCCGGGGGCTGGGCGGGAACCTGGGTTTCTCAGCCGTGGCTCCCACAGCGCCCGGGGGATGTCATTTTGCATCCCATGCTGGGCCAGACCGCCTGGGTTTCTCAGCCGTGGCTCCCACAGTTTGCATCGAGTGGGACATCAGCACCCAGAGGTGCTGACTTCTGCATGCTCGCCCCTCACCCCATCTCAGCCCCCACCCCTCCACTTCTCCCCCATCCCCATCATTGGTAGCTGAGGGGGTGTTTGCCCCCAACCGTGTTCATAGTGGGCCAAGTGAGGTGTCTGTCCTGGTATCTCAAGGGTTCATGTCTGAGAGGCACCCACGGGTGCTGCTTTCAGAGCTGGGTGCCTGGCCAGCAGCGACTCTATGGGATTTATCAGATTCATCCTCCCTTTCCCTCTCCCCTCCCAGGCCTCCTTCCTTCCTCTCCAGCCATGGTTGGTCTCCATCAAGACTAGCTCAAGGTCTCATATATTGCTCCATCTCCTGCCCCTCTTTGCACCTGCTCTCAGGGGTACACTGACCCCGGCAGGGTGCGACTGCTCTCGGCATACAGTGCTCTTGGCCTGGCCTTGCAGTGCTGCACTGAGTCACTAGATGTCCCTGCCAGCTGTAGGGCACCCACACAGGGGCACACAAAGTCCCAGGGGCGGGGCAAACAGCCCCACCCCCACCAGCAGCACCCACCAGGTGTTCAGAGCAGAGGGAGGCTTGGGGTGCTGGGGAGGGGGTGAAGGTTCTGGCTCTGGGGTGGGACCAGGGTTGACGTGCAGAGGATTGGAGTGCTAGAGGGTGCAGGTTCCAGCTGGCGGTGCAGGATCTGGGGTGGGACTGGGGTTGAGGGGCTCAGGCTTGGGGTGCGGGGGGTGAGGGTTCTGGCTGGGGGTGCAGGATCTGGGGTGGGACTGGGGTTGAGGGGCTCAGGCTTGGGGTGCAGGGGGTGAGGGTTCTGGCTGGGGGTGCAGGATCTGGGGTGGGACTGGGGTTGAGGGGCTCAGGCTTGGGGTGCAGGGGGTGAGGGTTCTGGCTGGGGGTGCAGGATCTGGGGTGGGACTGGGGTTGAGGGGCTCAGGCTTGGGGTGCAGGGGGTGAGGGTTCTGGCTGGGGGTGCAGGATCTGGGGTGGGACTGGGGTTGAGGGGCTCAGGCTCAGGGTGCAGGGGGTGAGGGTTCTGGCTGGGGGTGCAGG